ATCTTGGGAACGTTTTGTGAAACTTGGAGAGTTAGAAAGAAACAAGAGGGTAAAGTGAAAACGTATAATCAAATATGCCTCTCAAAGGGATATTGGATATTCCCATCTTCAAGCAGCTACTTTGTCCTAGCCACTCAATAGCTTTTCTTAAAGCTATAATAAAGGAAGCCTTGTTCACCATTGCAGCTGGCTAGATCTGTCCAAGTCACAATCTCTCCAAACTCAATCACTACATTTTTCCTCTTTGCTACATTAAGGACTATCACGATTTACATTTTATATTAGACTCAAATTTTCAAATTAAAATGTCACTTATTTAAAACCACTCACATCTGAATATCTGAATTTAGTACTATCCGTTGTATGAAATGCTATCTCATTCTTTGAAGAGCAGGGGAAAAATATCATCACTTGTACAAGTTGTAATGTACTAAATATCTTCTCCTTTTTTTTCAAAAAAATTACTAAGGATTTTCTCAACATTCTTCATTAAAATGCACATTTAAATTATGTCCATTTGGGGCCTTTTACATTGTGATCCTAAAACTTGCCTGTAAAGTGTTCTTTTAAAATAGGCTTTCTATCTCAAATCACTTAGACCTTTAATTGTCCAAGGATGGTGAGTTTTTAAATGATAATTACAAAACAATATATGTTATGTGACTACTGGGACTCTGCTTGCAAAAGTTATGATTCAACTGTGCACATTTTATAGTCACATACTCTCACATCTTGGTAGTAGCATTGCTTTAAATAAAGTGGGTCAGGAACGCCAATGATGACTCAATAGCTGAAGATTAAGGTAAGTAGTAAATACTAAGGTAAAGCATTTTCCTTGACACAGAGAAGGAGAATGTTATTTTACATATCATATTAAAAATCTCAATCTCGCATTAAGCGAAAGGGTCTTTCAAGAACAACATGCATAAAATATCCTCACTTTGAGAGACCTGTACTTTCTAGTGGTCTGCCTATACAGAAAACATTCCCTAAATTAAATGGTGCCATGTTCACATGGGACAACTCTATCAATTGGCATAACATAGTTCACACAGAAATCAAAATCTGCCTCCTACTGAAGTGAACAGAGTCTAGCCTTAAAAACTTGCAAGAAGGCCTGGAATGAAGATAGGAACTATGTATCTCTGCTCATCAGGAGCGAAAATATAAGAAGATAACCGAAAACCCAGAGAAGAAATAAATCTGCAAGAACCATACCCTGGTGGCATCGTGGGTACGTGCTGGCCTGCAAGATCAACTAGCCACTAGCCACGAAACCACTAGCCACTCTACACAGCAAGATGAGGCTCCCATAAGTAGTGATTGTTTTAGAAGCCCGTGGGGGTAGTTCTACCCTGTCCTATAGGGCCAGCTAGGAATTGGAATTGACTCAATGGCAGTTGAGGTTGGGTTTGTTTTTGTTTGAATTTGGGGGGTTTGTTTGTTTGTTGTTTTTTGTTTGCTTGGTGAGGGTGGTGGTGACCAGAGACATAATGAGTGATTTGGGATAGAATGGGAGTAAAGTACAACTCAAATTTTTAGTTCATAATAATAAGAAAAAGCCAGAGAAACTGTAACAGGAGAAGACAGAATCGCTCTAAGGCGATTGTCCTGAGACATTCTTTAAACCTAGAACCACGCCTGTCCTCCAAGATCACCTCTAACTAACAAAGCAGAGTGACACACACAATTGAACTGTAAGATCCGTGCACTACTTAAAGACCATCAATATGAGATCAAAGGGTCAACAATTTCTCAAAAGCAAAGATGAGAAGATAATCTGGCAAGGAAATTAGACTACTGGAAATGGAATAGACAAAACAAAGCAAAATTAAAGAGACAGCCGACACATTGTGATAAAAGTAACTAATATTCACTGAATAATTTCTGCAGGAACTGTCAGATGGAAACCTAACTTGTTGCGTGGACTTTTTACCAAAAACTCAATAAAATTAAATTGTTAATTTAATGATGCTTTCCATGCACGCACAGCCTCGTGCATTTCAACAGACAAAAGGATCAACTGACATCTCAGTTGATCCTATGACCTCGCTTACTATGGCTACCTACATTGTTAAGGGTTCTGTCCAGAAACAGACTGCATTTATAGTCAAAGCAAGGCAGACAGGGCCCTGAAGTCACATGCTGGCATCTGCTGTAGTGAAAATGCTACGCTCTGACAGCTTCCTAACAGACCTGTAGGCAGACAGGTTATGTCCTACTCTCAAGAGAGAACCTTTGTCTTCCAAGTCCCGTAATCAAATATTGGAGATTAGAATCTGTACTCACAAACCCTATCTAGAATTCCAGAGACCCCATGGACTCCTCTTCAGAGACTCTTGATTTCTGTACAGATGGACTCTCCTATGTGCGTGGTGAACATAGCTATTAAATATTACTCACTCTCCGGATTTTAATAGAAGGATCGCTTTCCATACAAACATGGCTTTTTAATCAACCCACTAGAGATTCTTGAACCCACCCACCAGGAACTATTCTGAAATAGTCAACCTCCATCCACCCACAAGCAGCAGAGGAGTAATGAAGTGCAGGAGACACAGTGGCAATAAAAATGCTAGTGGGGTGGGGATGGTTCTTTCTAAAATAGTTCAAAGAAAACAAACTTACGATGTTTCAATCTAAGGGAGCATCCAGACCATAATGTAAAGCTGCCTTATTCTTCTCTTTCTCCCTGCTACTTCCATATCTTTGGTGATAGCAAAAATTAGGGAACTTTCATGGGAACAGATGAATATCAGAAGGCTTCCTTCCAGCTTGGGGAAAAGCAGGAAGTTGCAGGAAAGGAAGGGCAATAGATAAATCCACAAATCACCAGTTTCGTGGATTCCACAGTCAACATCTTGATAGGATTTGTAGTGGAAGAAACAAATATATATAGTAGCATATCATTTACCTCAATTTTAAGTAAGTCTCTGCAACTACAGTCAGAGAGTCACAGAGTAAACTATGGACACTTTCTGTCAGCTAATTACACCAAGCTTGTCATTTGCAACTGTTCTGGAAAAGATGAAGCCATCTGAATGGAACATAATAGAAAGAATGCATTTCCTTAAAATAGGGAACTGATCACTGGGCCGGAGACAAAATGAGAACCTCTATCCACTATTCAGAAATAATCCTTCTTGTTTTAATTTATAGACATCTTCCAACTATAACTATTTTTCAGTATTTTCATAAATGAAAATGAAAAATATATATACTTATTTCCCATGGAGCCACATACACCAGAGCCTATATTTGTGTTATACATAAGAGTACCGCACGACAAGTTAGTTATTTTTCCTATTCGTATGGGAGGAGCCCTGGTGGCATAGTGGTTACACATTGGGCTCTCACCCACAAGGCCTGAAGTTCAAAACCACCAGCTGCTCTGAGGAAGAAAGACTGGGCTTTCTACTTCAGTAAAGAGTTAACAGTCCCAGAAATGCTCAGGGAGAGTTTTACCCTGTCCGATAGGGTAACTCAGAGTCAGGACGGACTCGATGGCAGTGAGATGGGCAAAAGAACAGACATCGGTAATATCTGAACAATTTTAACTACCATTTAAATCTACCCCAAAAAAGATTATTCGTTAAAATGTGTCGTTGGAATGGCATTTTTTGCCAGCTATTTAACCCTTGGGATGTTCTTGATAATTTTGTTAATATTCTTAGTGCAATATATTTAAATTTTTCAATAATAAGTATTTCCACTGATTTTTTAAGTTATGGTGTCCATGAGAGGTATAAATAGTTAATGTACTTGACTGCTAACAGAAAAGTTGGAAGTTTAACTCTACCCAGATGTGACTTGGAAGAAAGGCCTGGTTATCTACTTAGAAAAATCAGTCATTGAAAACCATATGGTGCACAATTCTACTCAGAGCCATGACGTCTCCAAAACACAGAGTTTATTCAATGCTAACTGGTTTTGCTTTATTTTTAATTATATAAAGTTTAATTTGGTATAAAGTAAAAAAGTGTCAATTTCCTTCACTGGCATGCATGCTATCAACCATTGCTCAATATTTGTTTGTCTTTGTCATTTACTAGATGGAACTAATAAAATAAGACATGCTATAGGGTTGCTATGAGTTGGCATGGACTCAATAGCAGTGAGGTTAGGTAGGTATAGGGTCAGTATGCTTGAGCAACGATGGCACAGCACCAGGTGGGGTTGCCTTCCGTTCTACGTAAGGTGGCTGTCAATCAGAACCGACTTTATGGCACCTAATAACAATAACAACAATGAGTCAGAATTGACGCCATGGCAGTGCAGTTATTTTGTTTTGTTAATCTAGAGCAGATACTCTCTTACCATGGTTATTACTTATGTGAACCTTTAAGTTGAAAGAAAAGCTCATCATTCTGATACGGGGGGACACTATGTGAGTTAACTGCCATGAGACACGTCATAATATTCACCGTTTACTTCGACTGTCATATGTGCCAGGCCCTGTGATAATACTTAAACTGTGTTATCTTATTTAAAGCGTCACATGAGCATAAAACAGCCAACTCCAGAGGACAGGGTAGAACTATCACAGTAGGTTCCTCAGACTGCAACTCTTCTGGGGCCTAGAAATCCCCATCTTTCTCCTTCACATTAGCATAAGGTATGAATGGTTATGATCTCTATTTTACACTGATATTTATTCATTCCATAACCTCTTGCCAAGTTTACACTGTTCTCTCCCTGTGTGCATGCTTCGGATACCTCAGGGAACTAAATGGAAAAAGATTTCTGCTCTTGGGGGAGCTAAAACTCTTGAAATAACCAGTGGACATAAACAATGGATGACAATTCTCAGAAAGTAGAACATTCTTTTTAAAAAGCAAGACCAGAAATGGAGATTGGGGATGCACAAGTAGCTGTGTTGCAATATCCGAGAATGTTGTTAAGGTAGGCACGTGGAGAAGATCACACGTAAGCCAAAAAAGATGGACTGGGGGAATCGTGCTCCGGGTCAAAAGAACAGCCAGTGCAGAGTCCTAAGGGAGGAACCTACCTGCCAAGTTCAAAGAATAGTTGGTTAAATCTGAAGAGGAAGGATAAAGCAAGGAAAAGTTGGATGAAAAGGAGAATGTGCTGACCCCTGTGATTTCCCCAAATGTGGGAAACCCAACTGCATAATTTGTGGTAGTGGGGGACTGCATTCGTGCTCTCCCCTGTAAAAAAAAGAAAGGAAGGAAGGAAGGAAAAGGAAGATGAGAAGTCAATGAAATAAGGTAGGCCAAAATCTTTAGGGCATCATATTTGGCTTTAACTCCAAGTAAAATCAGCAACCTCCCCCCACTCAGCCCAAAGCCAACCTGTAAGCAATTGGACATCCCCTAACAGAAGGGTTGTGGGGAGAAGATGAGCCGGTAAGGGTGCAGTGTAGCTTCAATGAAACATACAGCTTTCCTCTGGTTCTTTAATGCTTCCTCCCCCCTACCCCCCAGTATCATGACCCTAATTCTACCTTACAAATCTGGCTAGACCAGAGCATGTACATGGGTACAGATAAGAAGAGCTGGAAACACAGGGACTAAGGACAGATAAACTCCTCGGACCAATTTTGAGAGTAGCCATACCAGGAGGGGAAGGGGAAGGTGGGAGGAGAAAGGGGGAACCAATCACAATGACCTACCTATAACCCCCTACTAGGGGGTTGGCCAACAGACAAGGGGATGGGGGGAGACAACAGACAGTGCAAGACATGAAAAAATAATAATTTGTAAATTGATAAAGGTTCAGGAGGGAGGGAGGGAGGAAAATGAGGAGCTGATAGCAAGTGCTCAAGTAGAAAGAAAATGTGTTGCAAACGATGATGGCAACATATGTACAAATGTACTTGAGACAATGGATGTATGGATGGATTGTGATAAGAGTCGTACGTGCCCCCAATAAAATGATGTTGTTTAAGAAATCAGCAGCCTTTGATGGGTTTTGAGCAGTGGAGAGATAGAGTGTTCATTCCAGGACAGGGGCAGGGGCAGTGAGGCAATTAAGAGTTACCACGGCAATTGAGGAAACAAGTGATGGCAGTTCCAAGCAAGATGATGGAGGGGGGTTGCCAAGGAGTGGTTGGCGTTTGGGTGACAGGCTGCCTGTGGTGTGTGCAAGAGAAAGAATGGGGGCTGATTCTGAAGTTTGGGGCCTGAACAACAGGAAAGACACATTGGCCATTGATGGAGGTGGGGAAACTGGTGAGTAGAGTGGATTGGGGAGGAAAAACAGAAGTTCTGTTTTGGAGAAAGTGAGTAACACACATCAAGCAGGTGGTGACATCAAATAAGCAAATGGATGATACGTTTAGATTTCAGGAGAGGGCCCATGGAAGAGACATAAAAGTAGGAGGTGATGACATAGAAATGGTATGTATTGTCAGGTCAGTGGATAAAATCACGAAGGGATGAGTATAGACGAAGAAAATGATTAAGAGTTGAGATATACGGCATCATAACATTTTTAAAAATGAGACAGTGAGCAAATAAGACTAGGAGGAAACATGAACTCAAGCAAGAGACTGTGGTATCTTGAAAGCTAAGTGACATGTACCAAGGAGAAGGAACCAGTCTTGGCTTTTTAAAGGTCAATTAAGGTGAGCACTGGAAAGTACCCAGTTTAGTGAGAAAACTAAGGAACGTTCCTAACTGCTACATTTTAATAATATAACAGTCTGCTGACCTATTAGCACAATAGTGCCATTCACCAGGAAGATACTAGTTTTCAGGTATCACCCCAGATGCTTTATAAGTATTATTTTCAGTCTTTCCAATAACCCTAAAAGTAAATAATAGCCTTGTCCTGGTAGAAGTCTGGAAACTGAACCTCTGAAATACTGAGCAACTTGTCCAAGGTTACTCAGCTAGTAAAATGTTAGAGCCAAAATTGGAACTCACGCTTCCCTTGATCAGAATGTCAATTATAATATACCATGATGTCTTCCGAAATCAGAAGAGGATATATTAATACCAGAAAGGAGAATAAAAATGAAAAGTCAATGGTTTTGTACCAGCTTCTTTTCCATGGATACTTGTATTTAGGGAAATATTGTTAAGAGAAAAATTAAGATGCTAAGGCATATAAGGGATTTTATCACCTTGTAGTTTATAAAACCACAGACTCTTTTTTTAAATTATTGAATACTTTTGGGGAGGAGTCTCTTACAGCTCTTATCACAATGCATACATTCATCCATTGTGTCAAGCACATTTGTTCATATGTTGCCATCATCATTTTCATCATTTCCAAAGAAAACTACAGATACTAGTCTAGTCTGATTTTGCTCATCGAAAGCAATGTTGTCGGAATGATGACTCTAAAGCATTGTTTTTTCTACATTATTATATTATTGATGTCACCAAAACCTTCAGCTATCAGGTTCTACCCTGTTTTCCCAAAAGTAAGACATCCCCCCAAAATAAGACCTACTTACAGTTTTGCCTCTCACTGAAATAGAAGGCATCCCCCCCCAAAATAAGGCCTCCCGAAGCTACCGTAACTCTGGACTCTGGACCGTAGCAGCGGGTGCCACCGTGCAGCTCACTGTTGGCCGCAGCGTAGCTGGAGCAGACAGGAAGTGCAAGATCTCTTTTAATAAAACAATAAACAATAAATGTGTACCGTATTCTTCTTCATGGAAAAATAAGATATCCCCTGAAAATAAGACCTAGCCCATCTTTGGGAGCAAAAATTAATATAAGACACTGTCTTATTTTGGGGGAAGCAGGGGAAGCTCTCAGTATGGTGTCCTCTTATGCCCAGTGTCTCTCAACTGACCTGGTGCTTTAGAGGGGTTTATGGTCTGAACTGCATGGAAAAAACATGACTTTTACTATACAAATGAAATCACATTGTGGACAGTAACTTCACAAATGTAAATGACATACTCTATCAAAATTGCCTTAATGAGTTGTCTAATAAACTCCCCTTTCTCCTATGACCTTGGTAAGACCAGGGCACCTTGGGGCGTTCACGCATTCAATGGTCCATCCTTCCTATAATGATCAGTGAGTGGAACAATGAAGCAGACACTCTCCAGGTCACCAAAGATATGTGGCAAACCAGACAGATGAGTTTCCACCCTCTCAGGCTTACATTCAAACCTGGAGAGTCACCGAAGCAAATGAACCTAATGGTGACTTTAATGACAAAACAACATGAACACGTGCTGGCTTTAAAGCACAAATTGTGTTCTTTGGAAAACGGTCTTTGTCGTGATGGGGAACTCTTAGCGCAAGTGATCTCGGTCAGTTCTTGGAGGTCAGGAGAAGTGCAGGAACTGAAGGCAATATCCACATACCTCACCAAATTACCGTCTTTGGTTTAACTTTGTTATAGCCAATGATCAGTTCCCTGGTCTAGTTAGCTGTTTTGTGACTGGGTAATAGACAATTTCCTAATTAACATCAGCTTTTTTATGATGATTATGATGACAGCAATGGTGATAATCACAGTATTAACAATGTTGACGATAGAATGCAATACATTGTGTGAATTGCCCTGCCTTATCCTATACTTTCATACTCCTGCCATAAAATTAGAACTGGGCTCACACAAATACATTTTCTTTTTGTTTTCTCCTTGGGGAGCCCTGGTGGTATAGTGGTTAAGTGTTGGGCTGTGATCTGCAAGGCCAGCAGTTGAAAACCAACAGCCCACTCCGCAAGAGAAAGATGGGCTTTCTACTCCTGTAAAGAGTTTACTGTCTCAGAAACTCACAGGGCAGTTCCAACCTGTCCTACAGGGTCTCTATGAGTATGCTTCAATTCGATGGCAATGACTTTGAAAGTCAGAGACTCTTAGGTACTGAATAATTCCCAGTTACCTTTAGAGATTCTCCAAAAGTACACTTGTGTATTATAAATATGTGTATGAGATAGTTTATTGTGCCTA